TAAGAACAGCAGATAACTATTTTACTGCAAATAATAAGAAAATGTTCTTTTCTCCGGCGACCAGAACCCAGTGAGTCTGCTGAGTGTCCAGAGCAAAATGTTCCGTCTCCAGCCAGAGTGACACACTCATTTTCATTATCACAAATCAGTCTTGTGCCAAGCTCAACATATTCAGTGACAGACCCATTTTTCTTGCGTTCCCTGCCTTTAAATTCAAAACATCCTTAACATAAGCAAAGGAATACAATGGTGCAAGGAAGGAAGAAAACCTTCACAGGTCTTTTACACCTCTCCATCTCATCTATCCTTCCTCAGTTCTCTCCCTGCCTCCACTGCAAACTCCAGCAGCTTTACGCTGGCTCTTCTCCAGCAATTATCCGGTCGGTTCCGCTCTGACGCAACTCAGACTCCACTCATCATCTTCTTCGTCATCAGCTCCTGCTTCCTCGGGAAAAGCGAGACTCCCTCTCTGACATCAACTCCTACCCATCTCCGGGACTCGGGAATCAGCACCAGCTTTGCTCAAAAAGGTTTCTGGCTCAATCTGGGCTCCATCTCCTCTGTGACTCTTGTGCCGGATTGGCGCCAACACCGGCTCTGCTCTGAAATGTCCATGACTCCACTTTGGCCCCGACTGCATTTTGACTTCCAGCCAGCTGTCCGCCAGCTCTGCCTTTGACTCATCTCTGCTCTTAAACCTAAGACTCAAGGCTGTTCTATTTGCAATCCCTAAACTATGCCAGCGCAGTTATAACACTTGATTTTTCAGCCAAAGTTGTGGCTTAATAGTCGCTACTGATGCTGCAACAGCGAGCTAACCTGAGCCTGTCGTTTAGTCAACCACTCAAGAAATGAAATACCTCAAAAATCTGTCAAATGCACTGTTGTGAGATGTTTTACAGACGTTGATAGTTTACCAAAATTGTATACTATGTAACCTCCCCTTGACTTGCCCTGTAATGCCACCATGAGGCAGACATTTTGGGCATTCCTAGGCCTGACAAATGTAGGATAGATCGGCTCTGCATTATCTACAAATACCCATAGTGCCCAGATGAATGCTCATGACCTGAAGTGGTTACCTTTTCATATTTAAGATTTCAAGAATTGTGTAACGTCTGCCACATATTCTGCTTCTGTCGAGATGGATCATTTTTAACTGGGCAGTCCAGCAGCAAATAAATAGCAAAGCAAGTCTCTTCTGATCAGTGTCCTATAACACTTCATGGTTCTCACTCTAACATGCTGATAACTTTGTTACATACTTTGGTTAAGCTTGAGGAAGCTTTAGGGTATTAGTTTCCATTGCAGCAACTGGACTTAAGCCCTATTTATACCAATTTTGGGGGGAAAAAGCCCTCAAATCCTGTCAGCAATGTTAGTTCCAAGTGAGGAATACATCTTTGTAGTGGCTCCCTGTTTGCAGCAAGAATAAGAAATGTGTATTTAATGATTGGACAAGACATCATTTTCAAGAGGTTACAATGACCCCAATTTAATTTATCTAAGTAATTAAATGAGGAAAAGAGAGTAATGTTTGAGTGCATTGCTGACAGAGGTTTCAGGCTACTATCAGTCAATGAGGTAAAGTAGCCTGTGGTTCATTATTAAACAAATCAAGATTAGAAATACTTCTAATTTAGGTGCAAAAAAACCCCAATATAGAACAGTGCCCATTACCGTAACTCTCATCTCAGTCAAAAGACCTTTTCTTAGACACGTGCTGGCTTATGTCTGAGTGGATTGTTTTTGCGGCAGAAACTTGTACTCCATCTGCTCGGCTTCTGTCGCTGCTAAGACAAAGGACAACACAGCATTTATCATCCATTAAACCATCTATTTTATCATAATTTCCATTATTACATCCGATTTGACAACAGAGGGCGAAAACCAGTTTTGCAAAGCGAACATGACTCTCATTCTGTTATTCTAATTAGTCCATGCTTGTACCGGTCCAACATTCTTACAGATGAATTTTTTGCAGTCTGTGAGAAAACCGAGTCAAAATAGATAATATTGACTTGCTAAAAATGACTTTCTTATCTCACAGTCCTTCGCATCAGTATTAGCAGCTGCTATATTATACGCCAAAGTTTAATCACACTCTACAGTAAGTACAACAGTGCTGATAGATAGTGGCTGCATGTGTGAGCCTGAGAGAGAAGTCTCAGGAGTTCAGGATCTATTAGTCTGAGGCCTCAGAGCCAGAAACAGCTCACTCAACTCTGCTCTGTACACGACTGTCGTTTAATTTCTCACTTTGGCCGCTGAGATGGAGTCATTGTTTTGTATGCGCCACCTCTGCTTCTAGAGTGAGTCGGTATGGAGGGGACCTTTGGAAGGTTTTTTTTCAGACCTGAAGGTTAGTCAGCTAGTCCTGCAGGTTGTTGGTCAAAAAAATATAGAGCGGGTTAGGAAGCTAACTACCATGTGAAGATTTTACATGGTTGAAAGAAAACAACTGGAGCAATAGCACAATGAGCAATAACAACAAAATAAATGATTGCCGGCCAGTCTCGGCTCCTTAAATAACCTTCAAAAAAAGTCTTGTGGATGTTGAATACATGATATAACTGGATTAAAGAGAATACGGCTGCAAAAATAATATAACAAGAAAACCCACTCAGACAAAACAGACATGGGCAGTGTACCTTGTCTGAATGGGGCACACTTAAAATGTTGCATTGTTCTTCCGTAACTATGAAGGACTTTTAAAGCAACCAATATGAAATTGGGGCACTAGCGGCCAATGTGTCCGTATTGTCGTTCAATGTTCGTAATTATATGTGCACTGCCATTTGTCATTAAATCCAGGGAATTTTGAGCCGGGACATGGAGGACTGCTGCTTAGGAACTCCGCTAAGGTGATGCATTGTTAAGAGCAACAAAGGCTGCGTGAGAAGAAGTGTAGAGAGATGACTGGCATGCATTGTTGGTAGAACCAAATATAAATAAATTAAACCTTCGTTCTAACGTTGAGAAGGCTGGAAATGAGCACTGGTCTCTTGTTAATTTGAACTTTGGAGAGCTCGGAACAGAAAACTTGCAAGCTTTTTTTAAGGTAGTGTACTGTGTTATTGGCGTATTAACTGGCCCTGATGTGTAGAATGATCTCTAAATATCAAACAATATGTTTAAAGTCAAGTGTAGAATTTCTTTAATGAAAGGAATCTACTAAAAATAGTTAAATAAATAAGAAAATGCTGGAGCGTGTCTCTTTCTTGGCCACTTCCCCAATGAATGAACAGAAGACCATGCAGGATGACACCAAGAAGGTTTAACCAGGGTCCTGGAGTTGGTGCAGCACAGAAACAGGATGAAAATAAATTAAAGTTAGTATAAACATGTGGAAGAAAAATGATGATTGAGGAAAACAAGAGTGAAAAACCAACAACAGTTAATACCGCCGCTGAATTGACACAATTAACCGACTCCTTCAATAAAACTGAGGATTCCGAATGGATTACAACAGATTTAATATAGATTTTGGATGTCATTTAATTGGTTGACACAATTTCTTTTTTCACTGTAAATTGTGTTCACATTTATTTCATTTGAGTTATCTTCATATTTACTGCAACATCTTTTTTTTCTATCTTCCAAAAAAAGAGATAATAAATTGTGCCAATTCAACAGAATAAATAAATCATATCTTGCATCATGAAAACAACCTCCTTTATTAGACAAAAAAAGGCTGTTAATGGGTATGTTCTTATTGCTGAAATGTCTATGTTGTAATCATAATGAATATTCATGCCATAAAAATACCAAGTAAGATTTTTTTGCACAAATGTGTTCCTGACAAAGACAAGTAGTGAACAAAAGGTGACCTCATGGGACAGTTTGTAATCTTTTTGTGGTGTTGATACACAAACAAAGGATATAACAATCATGTTTGCATACGGTTTAAGATATTTGGAGCAGGATTTAGCTTGTAAGTACACAGTCTGGCTGTGTAGAGGTTTATAGTTAGTAGTTAGAGTAGTAAGGGCTCATAATTTTCTTTGAGGGGAAGATAAACTATTTGAAACCGCTGCATTTAAATGCTTTATATTATGGTAAGCGACATCATTTTTTTTTATGTGTGCTCCACACAGATTTAAACACATTCCCACCTGAGAGCTGACCTTTAGTGGGCGGCATCATCGCAGCAAGTTTGATTCTGGGGTCTTAAAAAAGGCTGTCTTCACGGCAGACGTCTCCTCAGCAGCATTTTCCGGCCCAGTTGCGGATTACAAACCATATATAGGCCCCTTCAAATGGAAGGCTGGTTCGTTACGTAAAATGTTTGCCGGCTGGCCCCTCTCAAAGGCAGAAGAATGAGCACGGCTGCAGTACGCGGATCAAACAGTACAGGCCAGACTGCGGCCGTCCACTTTGTTTGGTTCTGAATCAGTGCTCACACAGAATACATGAGGAGCAGAATGTTTGGGAGAACACACAATGAAACACGAGGGGAATAGAAACTCAGCACCCCCTGGTGTCAAGTACTAAAGCATGTATGTTTTTTATGGTTCATGTTTTAAACAATGTAAAAGCACGAGTCATGTCATGGACATTGAAAATACATAATTGGTGCATTTTCAAAGGTTGCCTAAAATATGCTCTAGGAGCTTCTTCTTCTTCTTCTTCTTCTTCTTCTTCTTCTTCTTCTTCTTCTTCTTCTTCTTCAATGAATCATCTTTGATCTTTAGGTAAAGAGAGATAGCAGCGACTTGCTTCGTCCGCTCTATTTGATGTTATACCAGAATAGACAGAAACATCCGGAAATGAAGATTGCCTTCAAAATAAACGTAAAAGGTTTCGTGAGGTTTAGACGGTTATAGTGGTACGACATCGGGTGAGAGCAACAAGATGCAATCTAAAGCAAGCATTGCATTGTGACAACGTGACGAGCACTAGCGACAGAAATTGGTTAGTTAACGTTATCAAAATATGTGCAATGTGACGAGTAAATATTTTACACTGAAAATTCTGGAGCGGAACTCCACGTAGTTACGTAATCCAGATGACTTGACATTATTTTAGTGACTGACGGGGACAGAGTTGAAAAAAAAGTGCGTGTTTGCTGCCGAGGTAACAGTTTAAACTGATGTACATATCAGCGACCATGGAGCCGGTGTCGTTGTAAGACGCCTGTCAGATTCAAAGCGCCCTCAAGTTCCCGTCTAACCGTCCTCTCTCACCGCCGCGGTAACGGTTTAGCTTTAACGTCGCATCATGTGGGTTTTCGGCTACGGCTCGCTCATATGGAAAGTGGATTTCCCTTACGAGGAAAAAATAATCGGTTACATAAAAGGCTTCACCCGCCGGTTCTGGCAGGGCAGTACCGACCACCGGGGGGTACCGGGTAAGGTGAGTGAACGTCATCATCTTCTCGACCCCCGGTCACCCGTGCGGCTAGCTTAACGCTACCTGTTGACGTTGCCTCGCGACCATACGCTTCGTTTGATATTTCTATAGGGTTAGTTACTTATTATGTAATATGACTTTAACCCTACTTTTTATTGGGCGTTACTGTGTGTATCTGCTGATGTTTGCTCCTGGGTCTGTTTCCCTCCACAGCCCGGCCGGGTGGTGACACTGGTGGAGGATCCTGAGGTGAGACGTTACTTTGTAATATAGCTGCAACTAACGAGTCATTTCACTGTCATTCAGTTTTACTTTCTCGTATCACTTTCTCTGCATTGAGTGTTCTGGTAGAGGAAATAGGGGAAAGTGCTCATTCCACTTCGTAAGAGCCTGACGTCGTCTGATTTTCTTTTTCTTTAAGAAATTAAAGATGGTGTTTTTCCAAATAGATGCTAATTTGTTTTCTGTCCACCACTGTTTCTATTCTTCTTTTCTAAAGTCACATATATGTATCTGCAAAACACCTACACCCTAAAATAGAAAATAGAACAAAAGGAACATTTAAAGAAACATTAATCCACCTCTTCTGTTTAAATACCTAACCTATAATTAAGATTTGTCATTTGTAGATATCCTGTTAAATGAGTTTTAAATCCTTATGATATTAATTATACTTTTCTATGAACATGATGTTTTTTTTAGAAGACAAAGTTTGTTAAGCCGAAAAGCAAACAATATCTCATGTGACCCATGAATAGTAATAATATATTATTCCCATCTGACGCTCGTATTTCAACCTCCTTGTTAATTATTAGTATATTATTGAGAAATCTGGCCGCATAGAGGCCAACAAACTAGCATTGCAACTACGTGAACAGCAAGATATCGTTCATGGGATTCTACTTAATAGGACACAGTTTTTAAGCTGCGATCACCGTCTGATGTTTTTTCACTGTGGAATGTCACAGTGATACGGATATTTATTGGCCTATAAGCAGTATGTGAGATACATGCTGAACAAGGTGAACGTGAGTGCCGTACTACTGCTCAGGAAAGGAGATTTGCATCTCATACAGTAGATACAAAGGAAAGGAAAGTGTATTGTATACTGACCTTGGAAGGGAGATCATTTGTTGCAGTTGATGGGAAAGCGATCGAGAGATACAGAGTGTTTTCTGTAGCGAGAACGTGGAAAGCGTCTTGAAAGCATTCGGAGGTGGTTGATGAATATTTCAAAAATCTCCCTTATAAAGGTCAAACTCTTCGTCTACGGCCGCCAGCTTGTAATCATGAACATCAATACAAATGTTAGTATATGCGTAATTCTCATTGGCTGCATTTAAGACATGGCCCATTGGTTTGTTTGCAGAAGTGACCGTATTTGGTTCGCAGAGGAGGAGTGAAATTGATTTACCTTGTAAGGCTCTGGTAGCGGTCGTGATCTATCAAACACAAGGTAGCCACACCCCAAAGCCTACCCCGCTCTAAGGTCTATTTTACTCTAAATGGTATTATTATTATAGCTTTCGGGAAGTAAAATAAGAGAACCCTTCGGCATTGGCCTCACAAGTCAGAACTGGAGGTGGCCGCCTGGCCAGATTCTTTCCTCCCGATGCACACTACCCTTTTTCTTCTTTCCTGTCTTTTAAGGCGTGCGTTTGGGGCGTGGCCTACAAGCTGCCGACGGGCCGGGAGCAGGAAGTGAAGAGTTACCTTGACCACCGAGAAAAAGGTGGTTATCAGGTCATCACGGTGACCTTTCACCCCCGTCCGCCACTTTCGCCTCCGCCCAGCCAGATACTGCTCTACATCGGCTCCCACAACAATCCAGACTACCTCGGCCCCGCCCCTCTGGAGGAGATAGCAAACCAGATTGTCGCCTCTACCGGCCCGAGTGGGCAAAACACGGAGTACCTGTTTCAGCTGGCTGATGCCGTGAGGACAATTCTGCCGGAGGACTCGGACACACATCTGTTTTCTCTCGAAACTTTAGTGAGAGAAAGACTACACAACGGTCAGAAACACTCACACACTCAAACGGGTTGATCATGATTGGATGGATTATTATAGCATGATCAATGGTGTATTACCGGCTGTACTTGTCAAATAGTCTCAGGGTTTAAGGTAAGCACAGGGTCAACAAGGATATTTGTCCGGTACAAGTTTGTCATTAGTGTCACCTTTTTGTCTCATGGAGAAAAAACATCATAAATAAAATTTATTGAAAACAGATTAAAACAAAGATAAGAAATAAAAATACATAAAGGTACTGCAATGTTAACTACAAAAATATGTACGTTGAATCGACTTGTCAACTCACTACAATGTAGAACAGAGCAAATGATGAACGTTTTGTATTAATAAATATATTGTGAGTCAACACACATCTTCAAAAATTGGTCTTTTTTTTTTTACAAATTCACTAAGTAATATAAACATCTTGTGATGTATATGTGCAAATATATGGGCCAATATTCCAATTACAGCAGGTTTATGTTGTCGAAAAGTGAAACCCATAACTCTTCCCAAACATCCTTACCTTTTGAAGCGCATGATCCTGCTCTGGTAAACATCCTCTCTCTCTCTCGCTCTCTCTCTTTATGAGCAAGTTTCAGGGAAGGGGTTAGGGATCATACTAACTAGATCACACGTGGTGTACAGTCACACGAGTCCACCCTCTTCATTATAGATTGTAGTTAAGTTATAATTCTTCTCATTTGGCCAGAGTACGTCTTTGCGCAGTGAACATGTCAAAGACAGCTGCACTGCATGCGTGGGCGACAGCTCTCTGTGACCCAGTCTCTCTTTAACACTCTCACACACACTCACACACACACACACACACACGTGTTTATTGGCTGTGGTTGTAGCAGCATCTGTACGACATAACTAAAAACTGTCTGCACAAAAATAAGATTCTCTGCAATGTTGGACCTTTGTCGATGTGATATGAAATAATGATCGAACATATCACACTTATTCTTCCTCTCTGAAATAAAATATATCTCCTTTTACAAATGATGCAGTGAATTTATTTACCAGGAAAACAAATCACAGTTATTGTACAATACAACACGAGCTGTATATTACATGAATATGTTGTATACTACAACATGTCATTAGTCTTTGTATACAGCCTTTGTTTATGCATCAATTCCATGATGTTTGTCAATAATTTCTATATATTATGCAGTATTATAAACATTGCAATATTATTTGTAAGTGTTGGGGTACATTAGAACTGTTGAAACACTAGTATTTGGTGCCATCATATATGTTTTTGTTGTTTTTGGTAATCGACCGTTCTAACTTTTTAATATTCTTAACTAACTTTTTGAAATAAATAAAAGGAATAAACCATAATAAGAACAGTGGTGTGAAGATATACAGAGTTTTCTGGCAAATGAGTGTATTCTACAACAGCAGCAAAAGACACCCATCAAGGGGGATCATCTCGAAAGTAAAGTGGCCACCTTTGGGGCTGCTCAGCTGCTTGGCGAGACAAAATGAACGCACCAAGTGAGTTAAATATTTTAAACAGATACCATTGCACTACTACTTTAACGCGTTGCACAAAGGACCACAGCGCCGTTGCTTCTTACAGAACGGCCCGTGAGTGGAGCTCTCTAGGCGTAGTAACAGGGCGACACCAGCAGGTCCGTGAGTACGAGTAGCTGGTCGTCGGTGAAGCTCTGCCGATGCTCCTGCCAGTTATCGTGATGAGTACGCCTGAACTCCGACAGGGTCTTCTTCACCGTCATCTTGGAACAACAAAACACCATCATCATCACTGGACACCGGAGGAAAACAAAAGAATTACTGTGAGGGAACAACACGTTTACGCCAATATCACATAGGCTTACAAGACGTGTACATATTTATAGTTAGATCAGAGGGACAATTGCATGTTTTTCTGCATTTGACAACTTTAGTTACTATTTATAATAATTGAACAACATTTATTGCATTAGTATTGATTCATTTAAAAGTACAAAGTAGTTTAAATTTCTGCCCTGCCTTCTTTTTTAGACTAATTTAAAGGCATCAAAATTAACACAATGAACTTTTGATTGTTTGTGCATCAGTGTATTTTTTTTTTAAGTAAAAAAAAATCCCAATTATGTTCTCATATGAACACTGACCACCAGATAAGGAAGATTTAAGTGAATCGAGTGGAGCTCTTTTGCCATGGAGACCTGTAATCGCTGCAGTAAAAACATGAAACAATGCGGCAAACTTGTGCAATCAAGAGGCTGTTGCTCCTGTTGCTTTTGTTATTCACGGTCAAAAAAAAAGCTCACCACTGAAAACAGCCTTTGATAAGGACCACTTGAGTCGGAACAACGAGGGCCGGCCTCACGTTTACCAGTGGAACTAGAACAAGGCAGAGCAATGACTTGCAAAGTAAATAGTTCCTGTTCCCAAGCAGAGAAACCACGGCGCTGATCCGGGGAAATAAACTGTGACGCAGGGTAGAAACTAACACACGCTGATAATGTTTCCAGCATTTGTTTACATGTATTAAACACTAATGAGGTGATCATTTATTGATGTCCGAATGCCACATGAAAGAACTGAAATACGAAAACAAAGGAATTATTTAAAGTGAAACGAGTTTGGTGGGAAACGTAAGCATGGTTCAACGAGGATACAAAAACAGGGATTAAATGTACTTAATGTTTCATTAATTAATCAATTGTGCCCTTGAAGCAAAAAATTTAGCGAAGGAAGGGAGAAAGGCAGAGAATGTCTGTGGCCTCACAACCAAAACCGAGACTACAGATTAGATTAGTTACTTTTCCAGGCGAAGATACTATATGCGTATTACTCTGCAAAAAGTCTTCCTCATTGTTATTTTGAACAATTACTCTTTTCAGAAGATTACGCGACAGCCTCGTTAATTCACCTACTCACAATTCTAATCCTTTACCGCATTCCTTTGTGTTTCCCTTTTTACCTCTTTCATTTTGCAAGTAAATGATCATCTCTGGCTCCCCATCAGTGTTGTATTATTCAAACTCTGTGTTACAGATTACATTGTACGTCTCCTTCATGCCTGAAGTAAGGCCAAAGACACAATTTTCTCCTCAATTGGACAATGAAATTGTATTCTTTCAGTTCACACTGTATCGAGCTCGATGTTTGTATGCAAGTGTGTGTGTGTGCGTGTGTGTGTGTGTGTTTACCTCTATAGGCTGTGGGTCGTTGAGATGGTTGCTCAGGTCCATCAGTATCTGAGGCATCCAGTCTGGGACATCGTAGGGGCTCGATAAGATGCACGCACTGAGGCCGAGCACGCCGGCATGGCACCGCAGTAGGTCTAAGAACACACACACACACACACACACGCACAAATAGGGAGCTAAAATGAATCGTTGAATTTCAAGGTTCCCAATTCCTCTGGGATAAGAAAGGGTAATAGGGCAAGTATTACTGTGATTGCCTCACTGTATGATTGTGATGTGCACATACATGTGTGTGTGTGTGTGTGTGTGTGTTTGTGCGTGTGTGTGTGTGTACCTGTGGAGCCCAGCTCTCCTCTTGCCTTGGGGAGGCGAGTCTGACTCAGCGTCTGGAGCTGTGTCTGCAGACTGGGGTCCAGAGGGAAGAACTGGCACTGCAATAAACCACTGAGGGTGGTGCCTGCCATGTCCCTCACCTACAGGTAGAGAGGGGAGGGGGAAGTGTTGGGAGGGGGCGATATAAAGAGAGAGAAAAAGAGAAAAAACAAACTTGTGAAGTTCAGCACCGACAAAAGAAAAGAAAGCACAAGGCAGTTGGCAAGAAGAGAGCGCAAGGAAATCGGGCGGAAAGCGAGATACACGGGACAGAGATGAGCAGAGGAGGAGGAGGGAGAGGAGGGGGAGCGATGAGGAGGAGGGGGAGGGAGGAATGCTGAGTTGAGCCGGGGTGAAATTAACTTGCCGAACATCACTGCTTTCCTGCATAACTTTGCATAAATTATGAATAAGCACTGAGAGACGGTTTATGCATTGAAATAGACAACGATACAAAGAGGTTGACCAGCGTCACACAGCTTACAAAACATTGAGAGAAGCAACTGTTTTTGCACGTTAGACAACCCGGGTAAAGCTTAATGGTCATCGATTTTAACCTGTACAACCCAATCAATGAAAAAGAGACAGAGGAGGTTTTAAAAGCCTTCGTTAAGACAAGTGGGACATTTAATGCGCAACAAAAGATGAAACTCCCTATTGGAGACTGTATTATGACTGTATTATAATGCAGTGATTTCACTGCATTAAATTAATGGATTTAACGGTTGGTTTATAGTCAAAATATATGTGCTTTGACAAATTATATTTGGGGCATTCAATTGATTTATGGTGTTATTTTAACATTCCTTAAATAACAACTAGCTGCAAGGGAGTGCAAGGCGGCAATACTGCTCTATCAACATCCCTGATACCTGGGATGAAGAAAAAAAGCACCAAAACAGGAAAATAAATAAGGAGCAGAGCAGAGAGGTATAGAGTTATTTTCCAAGCAATAACTGTCAGTAGAAAAGAGGGATTAAGATGTAGTGAGGAGAAACGGGGGCACAATAAATGACCATTTATAATGCGGTGACAATTACACCTCGCAGAGGGACTAACAGCACTTATAAACCACCTCTTTGCGGCATATATTACCTCGAGCTGTTCGTCAAGCAGCAGCTGCATCACCAGCTTTCGGACGGCGAGCACCTCGGCAGGCAAACTGAGCAAGGTGAACAAGTTGTAGAAAACCATGATCTGGAGGTAGGTCAGCACTGAGTAGCGTGCATGCCATGATCTGCTGCCTGCCATCTAGAGGGAAAGGAGACAGAAAGAGTGGTGAGGATAAAGAAAGACGAGAAGTTTCATGGTGCAATCAGATTGCTATGGTGTGGACACAGGTTAAAGGGTTTTGTGGGGTTGTATGAAAAAAAATATTAACAGCGACAAGGCGTACATAAAAGCCAAAAATAGGTCGCCAAGAGTCATTTCATCCATTATTCATGCTAAGCTAAGTTAACCATCTGCTCTCTATCTTTCGTATTTGGCGAACAGGTACGATTGTAGTATAAACCGGCCTCCGCTCACACTATGCAAGTCTTTCCCTAAGTGTCAACCTATCCCTTTCAATAATTTGTGCACGCAACATGAGATTGCAACAAGATAACAGGGGTGGCACTCGCATTGGGGAGAAAAACTGCATGCATTACAAAGTAAGCAAAATAAAATAGCACAGGTTGTTTTTAGACTAACAACGCCTCGGGCAGAATTAGGCTCTGAACACTGGCAGCAAGCAGGTTGGGAAGTGTGTGTCTGTGTGTGTGTGCGTATTTCAGTACGTGCACGTTACCTCTTCCAGCGCTGCCAGAACCAAAGGGATTTGCTCAGGATACAGCAGGCCCTGGGACATGAGAGAGAGACACGTGCGAGCGTCCTGCTTCATCTCATCATAGCTCTCATCAATCTCCACCGGGGCAATCTGCAGGGAGAGAGAAAAAGAGCGAGGGAGATGCAGAGAGATAGGAAGACACACAGCGACGCACCGTTTTGAGTAAATGAAGAGAGAAATTGAGTTTAATGGGCAAGTAAGATTGAGTGGGTAATAATGCTGTGCAGGAACCTGTGTCTGTGTGTGTGTGTGTGTGTGTGTGTGTGTGGTTTTTACTTTGAAGAGTAGAGGCAGGAGCTGTAGTTGCTGCTGAACAGGGGTGGTAAAGGTCCGCCCTGCGCTCGCCATCAACCATTTCAACACTGCAAATGACACACAGACAGAGACAAACACACACGGAAGATATTTTGGACCGCTGCCAAATAGAAAAGAATTGACTTGGCACCGTGACCTCACTGCATCGCTCCGGTAATAAAACACAATCTATCATGATTTGGTGTCTAATTATTTGGATAATTTCCTAACAGCATATTTATCTGTATAATGGAGACTAGAAAAGCAACACAAACTGAAAGAGCAACAATGCACAACAACAAGTCATCTAAATCCAGTCCTGTTGTTAAACGGGAAAACCACCGCGAAAAAACTGAAGACGGGGCTAATTAAGTAGAATAAGAAATAAAAAAATCAAATGAAATATGCGCTGCAAAACTACAGTAAATTTTCTTTTGGAATATTATTTTATCTTTCAGAATCTGATTGGCCTTTAGTAGTAAAATAACAGTAAAATGAAATGCCTTTCGTTAACCTTCATCTATATTTTTGGAGCAAATCTTACTCAAAATAGAAATGTTGAAAAACTGTCTTCAATAAGTGGTATCAGACCATGCATGTAGTTGCATTTTATGTATTGAATTTTGTAAATGGGATATTTGTGCCGAGGCACAAATGTAAGGGGAAACTGAAAAGTATATTTTCTGCATAGCTAATGATGCTTTGTTTTATAGATAGCTAATAGGGCCATTTAATTAAATACAACAAAAAAAAGATTGCTTAAACAATCATTTCTTTTCATTATTATTATTATTATTATTGGAGACTGTATTTGAAAGTAAAGCCAAATCAACAAGAGAAATGACTGCATTATCTCACGTCACCCTCCCAAATAATGAATTAGACTCCTTTCCTTCACTTTCTTTTGAAAAGCTTCAACACCGCCCATGAAATACTCCTTATTCCACACCTCCACCTTTCAAAGTAAAGATCTTAAAGGTGAAATCACAGTTTTCGGATCGTTGCATCTGCCTTTGGTTTGTCTGCTTCATCGTTTGTTTTCCCACAGTCCCTTTCTGTCCATCCACCACACGCATTACACGCTCGCATCCACATTCTGACCCGTCTTCAGCAGTTTGACAGCCTGGGTGCGCTCGTCCGTCCCCTGCGAGTTCTCCTCGTGGACGTGGTTGTGGATCTCCGGCTCCGTCGTCAGGGGCTTCAGCCGCTCTAGGACCCGAGTGACAAACTCCGCCACGTGGGGGGAGGAGGTGGGCCGGGTGTGGGGCAGGGCCACGTCTATCATGAAGATATAGGTCAGGACGCTGGAGAGACGAGGCGGGGGGGGGGGGAGGTTAGTGAGGACAGCAAAGAAAAGGAATAGAACAGGAACACTTGATAAATAAAGAGGCTTTAGAATGGAACAGCCCAGACAGCGCGCCGCAGGTAGTAATTAGATTAACCTGTATAACCTTGATTACGTCACCCGGGGGGAGATAATGCCGGGGTACCCTTCCGATGCGCTCCCTGACAATTCTTGTACACGTGGGGTGGATTTTGGCCTCCAGGTAAGTCAGCAGACTGTGCAGCAGTTTAGCGACTCTTCACTTGTGCTGGGGCCAGAACTCCCTGGCGCACATAACGCAAGTTGACCGAGACAAAAAGAAGGTGGGGGGGGGCAGTGGGCATTGGCGGTGTATTGCAGTACGTCAGGTCAGCATACGTCAGCTCGGGTTACTACTGCAGCCCTGAAATCGGAAACCTCAGAAATACTGGAGATGACATAAACACAAATTCTGAGCGTAAAGCCATTCGCAAGCACACAAACGCACACACACGCACACGCACACGCACACACACACACACACCTGGCATCCCTGAACGAGCCGCTCTCTCCGCTCAGCGGGCTCTCCATCAGCAGCTCAAACAGCCAGTGGAGTTTCCTGGGGTCCCGGCCCTCCTGTTGTACGGCAACATTACAAACTAGGCTTATTTCTGGGAATATTATTTTAGGTTGGGCCACATTTATACGCCCACCGAGCTACTGAAAACTACAGACGTGCTGCCGTTTAGCAGGTTGCAAATCTGTTCTTCAACATTATTTAACAAGGATAATGTAACACATGGAGACGCTCAGCTTTCCTTCTTGAGCCCCGAGCCGTGTTGCGCGCCGGGTATTTGTATGCACGTGGGACACTCACACAGGCAGTGGCAATGCAGGTGCCCCAGTCGGTGTAGGTTTCCACAGTGATGTTGGTTAATGCCGTCCTGATCAAAGGGCACAAAAGCTGCCATAGCCCTTCCACCTGAGCGTGCACACACAATGATGAAAGTTTTTATTAATATTGACTTTTCTTATCAAAAAATAGTGCAGCAAGGGTTATTTGTCCCTGTGTGTGTGTGTGTGTGTGTGTGTACCCAGTACCTTGCTGAAACTCCAGAGTTTGCTGCCTCTGATTAGTCCTGCAGTAATCTCACTCACACAGCGCTGGGAGCTCTCATGGGGGTCGCTGGCAAGCTGCTCTAGGTGAGGCCACAGCAGTGGCAGGAACACGTCGCCATAGTTACAAAACAGCCCCTGTCAATCAAACACGAGCGTGATGGTTCGTTCAATTTTGGAGGAACCAAACCCTATTTCTTTTTCTTTTTTTTTTGTTTGCAGTCATTCGTCTGACGCAAGTGAACTGTCAGCTGCCTGACGGAGAACAATGAATCTCAGCGTATGACGACAGGAGTTCCAGCTGTGCTGAGTTCAATTCAGCCTCAGCTAGCGGTGGTATGCTGTGTCATTTCTTCGTAAAAAGGTCTGCCAGATCGACCCGAGGCACAGAGTTTAAATTGCACCTTAAAGAGACAGTAGCGTCGGGGATTAAAGCTGTCGTTTCCTTTCCGATCCTCCAGAGAGAGGAATCCTATAAGCCGCTCAATAAACTCTGGGTCCGAGAAGTATTCAAAGATGATCTTCTCGCCCTGAACGACACACACAAGAAAAACACCGAATGTAATAATAGTTACTGTTTACTGAGAAGTTTACTGAGATTTTGTATGCGATTTACAATTCGAGCACCTCGGTCATCTCTTCGTACGACAGCTCATCTTTCGGCCTCTCCGAAGCTGCATGGATCATCATCTCCCTAAAGGGAACGAGAGACAAAGGAGGAGCTGCGGTGATTTACAGACAGAATTATGGAAGGACACGTCCTGTCTTTAAATAAGCAGCCAGGATAAATGAACAACTACAAAGTCTGTTAGTCAGCAAGCCAGCCCTTCATCTATACATCAATTCCTCTATCTAGGCCAGGCAGTGAGTCGTTCAGCGAGCCTTATCTAGGCCAGGCCCTGACAGGAAGTCAGCTCAACAACCCGCTAGTTATCCGGCCACCCTGATCAGTCAACCAGCAGTCAGTCAGACATTAAGTCAGCCACAAAGCCGAGCATCAAATCAACCAGTCAATCGACTATTTAGATCCATCCAACCAAGCAGTTCATCAGCGTCTCCTGCTAAACCCACCGCCCCAACACGGACCCACTCTCCTTACCTCGGCCACGAGTAGTAGCCACAGTGAGTCTTCTCCACAAACGGCTGAGAATCCCACTGCTGCTCACTCACAGGGAGGCTGTTGCTGTCGTACTGCAGCCAGCGGTTCCCCTCGCGGTCCCCGACGCAGAAACTCCCCGGGTCCTCTATGCCACCTAAACACACATGCAAACACAAGAAACGACATATGTCAGTGAGAGTTTGTGGTGACTGTCCACTGTTGTAAAGTTGCCCTGTTTTCTAGATGAAAGAAATGAAAGAGGGAAACATTTAATCTAATCCAATCTTGTATTCATGGTGTTGTTTCGTCAGTTGTCATTTGTCATTTGTCAGTTTTTAATTTGTCGTTTTTTCAGTTTAGTGTTTTTGAGTGCTCAAAGTGCTGTATTGGAAAAGACCTCACAACAGGATTTGGTAAATACATTATTTTTGTTTTGTGTTCAAACTCACTGATATCTGACGGCTTCACAGCAACTTTCTTTCTTGGTCGCTTTAGCTGTTTCAGGATACCGGCCATTGCTGAAATTGCCACCTACGAGAGATAAAGAATATGGAGTGGTAGAGTAGAACCAAGCACAAACGCAGCACGTCCTGGTAAAGTACTATCAAGGCTCGGTTTGATGTTATTCAATGACACTGATATTTGTCACATACTGATGCTACTATTCATTTTACTGTGGACTTTTGTGACTTTCTCTTTTGTATCTGTACACTAAACAAATACAATTCGACCTTCAACCTCGCCCCTCTCACAGCTGGGAAAAACATAAAATAAAACAGTAGTGGCAGCTCAAGAAAGATCTCCAAGTTTAACTGGAAGGGACATCTCTAAAGTTGCTCACATCCAGCATTTCTCTGCTGTTTAAAATGGTAAAGTATGCCGATTTCTTGTGAGCTTAAATGTGATTGAACCACGAAAGAAAAGCTTTTAGTCGGCCCATCTCCATACAGACACACAGCACACACGCAGCTGCACACCTTGCGTACGCAGATGGAGTCATGTATGAGGCCCTGCGTGAAGAAGAGGACAGCGTCGGGGGGAAGAGGGTGATCTTCTCTCAGCTGGAGGGCCAACAAGTCTGTGGCCATGTACTCAAACTTCCAGGTCCTGAACCACAGAACAGAGAAGTAATTCTGCATGCAATCTTTAACTAAATGTCTTAGCTACAAAATCTTGATATTTTTCAGAAGATGTACTGCTACTGACTGTTGATACTTAAAGCGCTTTCAAATGCAGAATCTAATAATTAACTTGCACAATGCATTCTGACCTTCATTTTATGAACATTCATACAGCGAGGGCATCTACAGTACTACAGTAAAACGGAGGGGGAGGGAAAACCTACAAGTTACTGTCTTCAAGGCAGTCCAAGAGATCATTGACCAGCTTCTCATATTTCCTGTACAAAAGACAAAGATGCGTCTGTAAGTGGTGCTTCTCCTATGACTACAAATGATACAAACAGTAGTACAAATTCTTCAGGATGCTCTATTCTGTATCATTGAGGACAATTTACCAATGTACAAATACAAAAAGCCCAGTTCTCCTACCTTGGAGCAACAACGTTTCTGATTCGTTCACGTTGAAGCCCTTCTTTCAGCTCCTCTATGGACGCCGCCTCTAAACAAGGCCTGGGATTTTTAGTCTGCATGATTTGATTGGCTATCTCCACACATGACTCCGACACCTACAGGTGGAAGGGAAGAAAGGAGACCAATTAAGACGAACAAACAAATGATGAGTAGTGCAATGACGTCTAACGGACAGGTGGCTCACGGTGAAATAGATCCCTATGGTGTCGTGCTGGCGGTGGATGCGGTCCGTGACGTCGTCGAGCAGCCCGCCGATGGATGGGTCCTCCAAGGTCAAGGATGGGGACAGGCCACATCGGACCAGAGCAGGCCACATCTCCCCGACACAGTCCCAGTCCCTTGCACTGGCTGGATAGGGACCGCTGAGCAGACCCAGCAGGCAGTACAGAGCACCCTGAAACCCACACAAGGTAAAGACCCTTGAACGATCGCAATGCTTACGATGGTAAAATTATATACATTCCGCCGGCGTGGAAATCAGGCATTCACGTCATTGTTTTTAATGTCAATCCGTAGGATCAAGCATTGTACATTGACAAATACTGAGACACATGAGCAATGCTGCCCTGGTTCTTTAAATGTTGACTGTCGATCTATAAGCTTTGGCCTTAGCGTTTTTGCATCAATATGGTATGAAGTAAGCATTATATCTAATAGTAATACGAACCTTTATTACAAATGATGAACATACTCCAATATCCCTTAAAATATACACAACTAATATTCCCAATTAATATTTACAAGAACAGCATTTGGAGTGTTAAAAGAGAATACTGATGTTTTTTGCCTGGTTTCAAACGAGGACTTTTGGTGCTTTGATAGTAAAAGCACCCCATCCTATCACCATCTCAGTCTAGCCCTGGGGACAGTCAACAAACTGAGGAGAGAAAAGCGCAACAATGCAGGATGGGGCACAGTTTGTATGCCTAAAAAACAAGCAGTAAAACTTCAAAAATCAATGCTGAACGCCACAGAACTTCTACTCAAATGTAGCCATTAAATGCAGCTTGGGACTAATCTCAAGATTCAGCACCACGGACAGTGACCATTGTGAGCAAGTCCCTGCCAACTGTGCTTGTCACCACGTTCTGTGAGTGTGTCTTTGTGTACGTGTGTGTGTGTGATACCTTAAACTGCTGTTGCGTCCCAGTGGTGTGTTGTGGCGAGAGCAGTTGCAGGATTCGGGGAACCAGGTCCCTGTAGGAGAAGCTAAAAGTTCCCACTGCGGTCGTCAGCACATGCTGGGCCCTGCTACGAACCTGCAAACACACACACAACCACACACATGCGTTCATGTAAATGCATGCATATATCTATGCTTACACGCCAGGTAAAAGGGGAACTATTGGGTTGAATTATTCTTGATAATGTGTTTCGGTTTTTACCTGGCTGTAAGTGCTGGTAGAAAGCAGCAGCAGGTCACACAGCAGCTCCTGATGAACCACTTTGTATTCACTGCCTTCAACCACCAGCTTCCTCATCTATTCACAGAGAAATTCAACGTTAAAATAGTTTATTAAAACAAAAAAAAAAACACCCACACAGGTGCATGTGCTTCTCCCTGCGACCCTGCACGAAGCAGAAGTAACTGACCTCATGCTGGAGCAGCACCCGGTCGATGAGCAGTGCTCTGATGTGCTGCTTTTTCCCATGGAGCTGCAGAATGAAAGGAGACATACGTTCAATCACCCTGCCGGTGACTCATGGAAGCTGACAACGGCGGCCTCAGTGCTCCTCTCCGACTCACCCTGTTTTCCATGGACTTCTTGACAAGCGTGTAGCTTTTCCACCGCGAGTCAAACTCCTTCTTGTGAGTGCCGCGGAAAAACATGAGGTCACCGATGATCTGTAGTGAGACGGGTGGGAAAGCGACGCAGTGAGACCTTTGCGGGTCCGACGCTGCGCAGAAATGTGACATCTGACACGTGTATAGTAGCAGGATCACCGTAATAATGACGAAGAGCGACTTTGTGTCATCTTCCGAGTGATCCAAGATGTGATCTGCATGGTGGTACACGTTGATTTATTGTTCCCCAAATAAAAGCGAGGGGTTTAGAGCTGGAGTGTGGTGGCATCAAAGTTTTTCACTCACGTAGCAGCAGTCTCATGGTTTGGCAGATGGACTCTCTGTAGTTCTCCCGTGAATCATCTGCAGGGGAGTATGGACACGGAATGCATGATGAGCGGCCTCATCGCCCTATGAAACCGTTCGGCGCGCAACATGCAGTGCATCTTGCGTTGTGCGGAGCCACTTATTTGCATTTTCTTACCGTAGTCGACACCTATATGCAGGTTGATCTCCCCCAGATTGATCATGGATGGCACTCTGAGGAGAAACAACATGCAAGGAAGAAAGTAAACTCTTAAGAGGCTGCAGGAAAACCCGTACTTTGATATGAGTGTGCAGCTGCAGGGCTCACAGGTCAGATACGTGCGGCCCATCCAGAGGGGGCAGCATGGATCCAGCACCGAGAAGGCAGTGCTGCACAATAGCAAGACTCTGCAACAGCTCCTCCCTGTGAAGCACATCACTCGTTACAGTCCTTTCATAGCCGTACTTGGCAATTTTACAATGGCGTTTTAACACGTCTCAGCAGCCGAATCCAAATTTTCAACGCTCTGTGTTCTTGATTAGGCTTCATCCAGACGAGTATTAAAAACAGATGTTTAATGTTCAGGTTCGCTTTTTCGGGATCCAGACGATTCTCATTTATCAGCAATGAAAGGCTACGGGGTTGTTTGTTTTGTTTGTGCGCGAGCCTGATGACGTCCATAAATCTAAGGCTAAGAAAAACAACTGCACACCTGCCCATTGGCTGATCTCCAGAGACGTGGCCCCGGATTCGGTGCAGCTCAGGGTGCAGGAGGCGGGACAACAGCTGGAAAACAAAGTTTTCCTCTTCCCGATCAGGTACGTGCCAACACACACCCAAGTCTGCCACATCTCCAGCTCTGCCCCAGTCCTGGAGACAGAGAGAGAGGCTTTCCCAGAAAGTTGTACAGAAATGGTATGTTTCCACTGAAACAGCTGGCAAGCAAACCAGCCCGGATATGTGTCATCTGCTGGTACTGGAAGCATATGTTGAGGATTAAAACACTTAACAGGCACCAGTTGAATCCAACTAAGAGTCATCAGTAACATTAATCAGTGACCGTGAGCTGCAGATAAAGAGGTCTTTTTTTAAGTAGCAGAGAAAGATAGCTTTTATTACTGCCTCCTCAACATCAAAACACACTCCCCCTACACTCATGGACAAAAATACGGCACAATATTATTGAGAGAAATACTGCTGGACACGCTGATCAGTTTCTCTCCTCCTGCCACAATCCTCTTTGAACACGCATTTAGCAGCCGCAAAGGCACGTTGTACAACCTTTTCAAAGCCGGATTTAGGACGTTTGTTCTAAAGAATATTTACATTCCCCTCACTTGGTCTGGTATGAATGGAATGGTATAACCATTAGCATATGGTGGTTAATGTTAGAAAGCAGGAAAAAGAATGAGTCCAACTATCAAAGGAGAATGGTGCAACATAAAGTCAACACAAAGAAAATACAACTATTTAAATGTGGCCCTGGGGAATGAAGGCATTTTTACTATTTACAACTACAGAAATGTTGTGTTTTCCAAGTAAATCCCATTGTTGGAGTCCCCAAATAGGTTCTGTAATACCCACGATAAGAGCCAATTTGCACTTTAGGAGGTCAGTCAATAGGCCACGGTCATAGAATCATGCAGTTAAGAGTCGAGGGACTGGGTTTTACTTTAGTAACATTAAATAATGGTGAGAAGGTAATCTTCCCCTGTGCAGCACTGCAGAAGTTGTGTTTACCCATATCGGGAGGTCAGTATCGAAACCCCCAGAGGTGCTGCGGTACTCGGTGGGATAGATCAGGGACAGCGACCGGAGTGTGTGCTCCAGCAGACTGCAGGCGAGTGTGTACGCCCGTTTGCAGCGCAGACGCACACACACGCACAGGATCCGTTCCAAGTCCCCCTGGTATTTTAACAGCTGTTCACCATCCACACGGGTTACCTGAAAGCAACACACACACACACAGAAGTACATGCACACCCACACACACATGCACACAAATTCAATGGAGAGTTGTGTCTTAAATATTGAGGTGCTGCAGTAAATCACAGCATCTGGCTCGCTCGCACACGCATTAAACTCCTAGGAGTAATAAAACAAAACAGAAAGGGTATCAATATGTTCTGGTTAACGACAAAGCTCCTTGATATTTATGACTGTGCACGCTGCAAAAAATTGCATTTTCATCCTTTTCTTCTTTCACTACAATGTTGCAATCATCAGGTTAAAATGTCTCTCTGTTCCACTCCTTTTAAGTGTGTCATACATTCTGGAGTTCTGTAGAAACACTTGATGAAACCTTGAATCAAGGAAAAATAGACAAAACACTTTAGTAGACGTGACTTAATGACACACGGCTCCAAAATGTTGTTAAAACAAATTGCTCTGTAAAGGAATGAGGACGATACGCAGAACCCTCTGGCAGACATTTAAATCATTTTCAGACTAAATAACATTTGAAGAGACCGACACGTTAAAATAAATTGAGCAGGATTCATATTTCTTTGAATGCTGAAGCCCTTGAGACGTGATAAATCCTCGTCTCACCTCGGAGAGCAGCTGGAGATTCCACAACAGTTCCTTATCCAGCCCGTCTTCGCACTGCAGCTCCTCATCTACACACACACACACACACACAATATATATGATGAATAATGTACCATGTTGCTCCCTTGAAAGACTGAGGTCCTTTTGCTGATGTTTTTTTCTCGGGCTTTAGTTATGCATTGCTATCTGCCTCTTTAGTCCTGACCAAAATATCTCAACAACTACTGGATAGATCTTTATGAAATGTGTTCCAGTCACATTCATGTTCCTCTGGATGAACTGTGTTCATTTTGATGACCCCTCGACTTTCCCTTTAAAGCCACTCTAAAGCCACATGACTCAAGAGCCACATGACAAATGTCAAAAAGCCCAATCTTTTTTTCCCATTCCTAGAAGTCTCGTTTTACTGTGTTTATTGCTATTCAGCGAATGTCAGCAAGATAAAACACTAAGCTGAGATGGTGAACATCAGACCCGTTGCCAATGTAATTGTGAGCATATCCTATTTGTATTTCACTCCACAACCAGCTGTTGTTAAGCACGGTGCATGGCTGCGCTCATAGTGTGTTATTTATTTAGTATAGCAGTGAACAAACGTCTGAATGTACTCATCACATGTGAGGAGTCATCTACGGTCTCCGTGCAAACACACAACAGCTCTACTCTACACACACAGTGTGGTACTGACTGTCAGTAATTTGGAAAATGGCGCCGCAGCAGTGAGGGACAAACAGACGGAGAGACTCAGCGGGATGGCACTGTAAACACACACAGACACACACACATTTAGATAACACGTAAATAAAGCAACAAATAAATGAGAATGTAACTACGACACAAAGAGGTTGAGTGACATTTATTTCTGCATCAAACATGACCTCATAAAGTTGTATTTTCAAAATGTGAAACAAATCAAAAATCTACTTTAGAGTACGGTGGGGAACGAGTCAAAGATAACAAGCTGAGGAGGACATACCTTCGCTGCAGCTCTGCACATGTCCGCCACCATCCTGCCTGACACACACGTCTCAAAGATATTGGAGGTGGCAAAGTTATACACCTTCTGCAACGCCACCTAGCAGAGTGGCAAAATGTCTCACACAAAGCATAACGTTTGACTGAACAAAACTGCATCATACGTCCTTAATAGCATGGAGTTATTAGCTTTTAGTTTTAAAACTACTTCGGTGAGTAAAAAGAATCTTTCATGGCGCTGAGAGTGATTACAGATTTTATTCTTGTGTTTTGATTAGTGACGGGGTTTTTCTTAATACGCTGTGTTGAACAAAATGCACAAGCTTAATTATTGTGATGGTTACCTTTGTGTTATGAACGGATATGTAGGCTACATTCAAAGCCCTTGTTAATAAAATAAGCAATTATCAAACTCTAAAACTCAGCTTTAATAATCAATCAGGATTTTGAGGGTGTGGTTTAACTTTGAGTGGCGACATAACTATATAACCCCAAAGCCGTCATAACATTTGGATTGTTGCGTTGCTAAATCCTTATTGGTGCACAGTGCAAGTGACATCATCTTTGCAACCGGGCCATCTTTAACCGGCATAAGGCACAGACAATTCAATTCAATTTCAATTAATTGAAATCTCTTCTCATCACTCTTGATGAGAAGCTTTTAGAAACTAGGTTGCAGCGCCCTTAGGTTTGCTATCTGTATGAAAAGTATCTAAAGGATTGCATTTTTAAATAGTAAATATATACATTTAAAAAGAGCACGTGTGCGCGTGTGCTACCTTGTATATTTCCCCGGAGCATTGTGTCAGGATGGTGCTAACAGTGGAGGACAGGCCCAACTCCACCAGGCTCTCCAGATGAGTCTGCGTATCCGTCTCCATCTCGTCTCTCGTCTGTTCCAGGGTGCTGCTGTCTATCAGAGCAAAACACCTGCATACACAAGCACACACTTGTCAGCGATGAAAATGTCAACAGCCTTATGGTGAGAAAAAAAAAGGAGGGTGTTATACGTGGCCAGCAGCGCAAGTGATGGCAGCAGTGCATTTCAAGCGGAGAGAGAGAGAAACATTCAGACTCTGGCATTGACAACAAGGCCTCACTAAGTGACAGTTTGAATTGTTGATTCGTCTCAACCTGTCCAGAAACTGGAGAACGAAGTCCTCAAACTCAGCTGACGCAAAACACAGAGTTTTCTCCATCTGAAAAGGTAGAAATGTAAATGGTTAGTTAGTGAATTTGCTTTTTATTTCAGCATTTTGAGTAAATATGCTCTTGTGTCGAGAAATGGAGGAGACGAAACTACAATGCAGGGAAAAACAGCTAACATAACACAATAAACCTCCAATTTTAACCTATTTAAGGACTGAATTCTTAACGGTACCTCTGTGAGATCCTCGTGTTGAGAAGGAGCCGACGAACAATCCGCTAAAGGCACCAGAGTGGTGAAAGTGGCGATGAACTGGAACGTTATCTGGACGGAACCACACAATAGGGACACGGATCATCAATTCATCTGACGCGATCAAGGCCCCGATTTAAATAACCAACCAGATGTCAACCGAGTAACTTTTTCAAATGTTTGAATTCATTCTGGTGTGATGGATTAATGTTGCAATGAGCTCACTAAGAAAGGAAGCCAATCCATTTTTACAATCCAAGCGGAAACTGAGGACCGGCCCTCGGTAATTGCCGAGTTCTTCAAACTGAGATATTCACTGCACTTTTAGGATTTATTAACGACGTCGAGCAGAGTACACGGGTGGGGAATTTAATCAGCGAAAAGCTGCATTCTCTTCTTGTCTGGCAATTCTTCTTCATTAATAATCTTCACATCCGTTGCTCACCATGGACTTGCTAAAGTCGTTGGGATCAATCCCCGGCAGAGAGCCCATGAGCAGTGGGAGCACATGGCCGCGGCCCTCCGGGTAATGGTTGTTGAGGGAAACCAGGCTGCGAGCCATGCCGATCATGCAACTGAGGGTGGCGGTGAGGGTGTGCGGCTCCGTCAAGGTCTCCATCGCTGCGTAGGTCCTGGTGTACGCGCAAGATTCAAGGAAAGTTGAAAAGAAAATGGGATGAAAAAGCACAGAAGTATGTCGGTGTTCTCAAAACGATAAACACGCATGCAGGTTGAACACATTTTTTCGTATTCATGGGGATTTAAAAAAAGGAAACCGCTAATAGGTCATTTTTCATCATTTAAACGTGGGTAATTTGCCAAAATAAACAAATGGAGGCTTAAATAAAAGTCCTAACAAACATCTAACTGAAAACCACAACCTAAAGAACAAATATCCCCCGAAACTAAGAAAGCACAACTAGTTCACAGTGTTGCATTTCTTTTGGTCTAAACGTTGCGACGGCCCACGGCAGATATGAGTAACAAACACTTACTTCTCAAGTACAGGTGGTATGACGAGATCTGGTGTGAGGAGAGCCAGGTTCTGAAGAGCGTAGGCTGCATCCGTACTGCCGGTTTTACTGCACACCACCACAAGAGGACAGATGAGAACGAGGACCCATTGACACACAAGCATGTAGGAAGGTTAACGGCAAACGACTTGTCTTTGTGCGGATTATAGGCGCGCTGCCGCTCGGGCCTCGTGGCGGCGCTCTCTCGCAAGACACAGCAGGTTTATATAACTGACTGGGACTGATTCAAACGGTGAGTTTACATGGCAACTGCCCAGTGAACACTCATATGGAGGTCAAAATGTAAGGTTTTTTATTTATTTCAATCATTGTTTTAATGGAATTCTGTTGAAGTCTTTACCCAGACATGAAGCATCTAACTGATTGTGTCATTTACATGCTGTTAAAAAAAAACTGTGTGGGTTTTGCAAGCTGTATTCATTTGGAAACCAATCAAACCACCAAGATCCGTTGAAAGTTTGGTCATTAAATTTGCATTCACAAGACCACCCGCTGTTATTGCGCAACACTCACACCTACCTCCACATGACACCTATTGTGTCTATTCCTGCCGCAGTAGAAATACTTTCTATCAGACTTCCCACTCGCTGCAGCACGAGGTTGACAATTTTTAAATGTCATGTTAAAACCAACTCATGCAGACAGGCGTTTTCTATCTATTTTGGATATCCGTGTTGGTTTGGTATTGTGAGGTCACGTTTTCACTAATCATTTTCCACAATGTTACATTCGTATTTGCTTGCTCAATGTCCTTGATGCAATTGCCTGTTATGTCTTCTTAATGTGTTTTTATCTTCCTACTAATTTGTACATGTGCTTTAATACATATTTAGCTGAATAATGCTCACTGTTTTGTTTGCAGTGAATCTCTATACTTTGTTCAAACAAGACAAGCTCAACATTCATGTCAATTTTTTTGAATTTGTGCTCATGTGTGTGCAAGGACAGAACTACGTATAGTACCTATCATATATGTATTCAAATGGCTGTATGGCCATGCATGTATATGTGTAATCCTCCTTAAAGAAATAGAAACTTTAGTGTAAAAATGGAACATTACACACATAAGAGGTGAGGTCATGGTCATTGTTTTGTCTACCAAAGTGCAATACCTGAACATGGCCAGCAGGGCGGCACCGGTCAGGCTACGGGTGAACTCCTGCAAGTCTCCATCGGTCAGCCTTTGGCCCTCAGGGACCAGCGTGATCCAGCTGGGGGCCGCATGACGTTCCCGATGCACACGGCGCACAACGCTCGCGGGGAGCCGCTGAAGCAGGCGCATCAGTCGGGACTACAGGCAAACACAAACACACACAAACACACACACACACGCACACATTCAACACCAGCGTTATCACCAAGACACACATTCACACGGAAACAGATTTGTGATACTGCTTTTTTTTTTCCTCCGGCAGTTGTGCGTTTGATTATTGTGTTGTCGGTGCGAAGAGAGCCAGCAAAGCCCTGAAAGGCAGGATATAAATCAAAGAAGTGTGACAGCCGGCGGCTGAAAAGGCGCGTGTAGCGTGCCTGTGTGAGTGAGAGAGGGCTTACTTGCCAGCGACCATGATTGGAGGGGTGGTAGAAGGACGCAATGCTGTTGAAGAGGCAGGTCAGCTCCTTCTGTGCTGGGTTTCCTGGTCCCCCCTGCACAGGTTTGCATCAGGTATTCCCCATAATTAAGTAGCAAATACATACACACACATACATATATATATATATATAAGAAATGGTGTGCAAGTACCAGAAGAGCTGTGATCCACAACACCATGTGTCCGATGTCATAGGAGTTGGTGAGATAGCGCGGTGCCACCATGTGACTGACCCCCACTGGAATGTTTAGACTGCGCAGGATCCTGGTGAAGATCTGCATTAAAGTAGAAGTCGGGTTTTTTAACTTACACAATTGAATAATAATAAATGAAGACAAAGTATTTTACAGTACAGGGAGAGGCCAAAAGCCTCCACCTAAATCATTTTACAATATTATGTCCCTAAAGAAACACATCTACTGGCAGTGAGGACTCACTGTAGGAATATAGGGGGTCCAGTCCACGTAGCCGATGTCATCATTGGCGAGGCGAGCAAACAGGTTCACCAATGGCTGCGAAGACAACAATCACTTTGAGTAAAAGGGAACCTACCCAGCAGTGAAGGCTGCCATTCATTACATTGAGTATAGCAAATTTAGCATTTGAGAATGAGACGAGATTCTCGAGAAGAGAGGACGTGTGCGCAGGCCAGGAGGCTGCGTGACAGCAGAGCGGAGGCACGGGGGGGAAAATAATTGCTTCATACCGAGTGGAAACTGTCAATGCTTCAATAACATTTCAATCATGTTCAGGAAATGTGTGTCATCCCACATATCCGCATCCATTACTGGGGAATTGGAAAATTGCGTAATTCATGGCTCAATCATTTAAAAATATTTTTTTTTAATTTTTTTGAAACAATCACTTACTGTTGAAGGTTTATACAGCTTTGAAAGATGGATTTTTTTCCTCGATGGCAACTTAATTCATTACTGCTGTGGCAGATAGACTTTAAGTCTAAATATAGTGAACAATGAAGTATCAGAGATGATCTTTTTCAGTGTTCGTATGGTCTTGGGCATCTTCACCCAGCTTGTGAGGACATAAATCTGTTTATATAACAACAGTTTGGGGACAAAATGGGGGGAGGGGTGGTTTGTGTACGGTTGAGTTTATCTTTAAGTTAGGACAAGGACCAGGATTAGGGTGTGGAGTCTACAGGAAATAGATACATGTCCATGCAATGTCCCCAAAAAGTGTGTGTGTGTGTTTGTGTCTCACCCCCTCCCAGCTTGGCTGATTTTGCACTGACACCCAGAGAGTGATTAATTCATCAAACCACAACCTGAAACACAAATGAAAACATATTTGTATTCAAACCCACTGACACCCACACCTCAAGCTGAATCCCCCTCATACATCCCCAATTCCCCTTAATATGAACTCTGAAAACAGAAACGGAAAAATCGAGTATTAAAGACGATGTCGAAAGTACCCGGAAAATGTGAATGCACCCACGACTAAATCCAGAAAAATAGCACGTGAAAGAGAGAATACACTGAAGAAAGCAATGCAGCAAAGAGGATCGGTAAGCTGGAACGCCACCATGTGGAGGCAGGAGGGAGAGGAGCAAATGATTTCCAAGGCAACAAAATATTTAGCAAAAACAAGGAGGAGAAAGCGCTGCTATTGCAAGAGGAACAATATTCATTAAAACCCCAGAGGTGCAAAGGTGTACATGCTAACAGAGCCTGGAGATGTAGTGATTAATGAAAAATGTTCATAAGATCAAACCAAAACACGGGAAAGTATCAGGATTAATGACAAGTTTCCATCTCAAGACCAAAAACGACCAAAAAAAGCCACATATTCAATCTTCTTTTCCTGCTGGCAGAGATTGTTGGATAAATAAACAAGGGGTCTTTTAAAAACTTGTACTTGTGTATAATTATCATTACATCATGATGTGTATAATATAAGTGCCTAAGCAGAGCCACTGAAGTGGGCCCACTTACTGGAAGCCCTGGTCGTGTTCCTCCGGCGGCATGATGGTGGGCAGGAACAGCTCCATGTTGCTGACGGCCTTCTGCATGATTATGTCAAACACGCACATCAGGGGGCGCCACTCATCCAGCATCTCCCTGGTGGACGACGGCGGGAAATACCTGTGAAATGCCCAAGAAGGCGTGCAACAAAGACAGACCTGAGCACAAATAGGTGCAGACAAGGCAAGACTGAGTGTAGATACAAACGCGCTCATTGATCTAACGCACACGGCTCAACTGGAGATCAAAGCAACACATTATCTGGTGCACAAATGACAAATGATCACAGAGGATGCGACTTACAGTCTGCAGCTTTTGATCAAAGCCTTCAAAACATGGTCCACTGAGCTGCAAACAAGCAGAGAAAGGAGGTGTGGGAGTTTGTGAAGGAATTCTGCAGTTACTAAACATATGTCCTGAGGATACAGAAAGAAATCTACGTTCAGGCTGCATCTTATTTCGTCGCTTTGTAATTATTCTTTTAGTCACTGAAAGCCCAATGCAATCTAAAAATGTCTTGTTTTTTTATGAAGCTCATTCTCAAAATAATAGATTGAGATAAAAAGCAATATAAAACAGAGAAAAGATGGAAACCATCTCATATAACAGTTTTGTTGCTGGATAATTGACTATATCTATATATACATACATACATACATATACACTATTTAATGTATCTGAGACACTCCCCTGGAACTGTTCAGAGTTCATTTTCTGTAATTCTTTTAGTACTATTTGACAGTGCACTGTGATAATGAAGGAAAGTATTATGAGCCCTTCCTAGTAATAGTGTTTGTTTAGCCTGGCTCTCTACAGACCTGCCAATGGGCCAAGCAACCTGTTTTATTACCTGTGGATTATCAGTTGCTTTTGTTTGGACGTTCTATTCCTGCCTGTAAGCCTTTTCACTCTCACTTTTTTTACAAAATCATTGAATTTGTCTGCCACGACTTTCCAGGACAGGAAAAAAGTTAACTTCCGGGTTCAGAGTTTGGGTCACAGTTGTATTCGAGCTATAGTCGTGTGAATGACAAGCCTATTTGCTTTCTTAAGTCAGCTTGCTGCTTGGCAACTTTTTCCTATTCCAAAAAGTTCTTTTTAGTTGGCAGTAATTCTTAAATAAATAACTTGGCATGAAAGGGTATTTTTTATAGTCGTACATTTCCAACAACTCCCCATAGGTCAATGTAAAAGTACAACACCATACTTGGGAAACCAGATGAGTCCAAGGTGCTCCGTTTTGGAGTAGATGACCCTCTCGTACAGATCATAAAGCGGTCGCCATGGCAACTGTAGGTCATCCCTTGACAGCAGTTCCTTCTTCCTGTTTGAAAAAGAAACCGAATATTGACTCTCGCCTGTTTTTTTATGAGGGCGTTGAAGCTTTAGTCCAAATCTTTTGATCTTTTAACCTTTTAAAAGAACAACAAGTCAAGAGAATGTGATGTTAATGATGATGTTTGGGAGTGAGAAATTACAGAGTGTCTAACAGGACTTTGTATTCAAGGGAAAATGAGTCACTACCTCGCCGGCTGTGCTCAAAATGACGAGTGCCAACTTCCAGACGTGTCAGCAAACGCTGCGCTGTGGTTCTTTGTATTCAGTAAAGCACCGTTGGACTGACAGCCGCAGACATTTCACAGGTGTAGACTCGGACTTCAGACACATGATGCAGTGCAGTGACCTTATGAGTCTTGATTTTTTTTCCCAACACCGTGTCGACATTTTTAAATTGCGCAAGAACTTTACAACAGGGCACATAATGAATTATCCAGGGAAACTTTCACATTTTTTGTATGCAGTAGTTTACCCGTAGTAGTAGTTTATCTGCAGTAGTTGTAGATGTAGTGTATTGTATATTGGATAAACTCCACATAAAGGTAAAGAATCCATGAACTGAAGAAAGAAAACAGTTTCCAAAGTCTGGCGTTACTTTTTTAGTCTCTTCCTTCAATATTCTAACAGCTATATGGAAAAAGATCTAATTGGGGAACTTTTCAAATTGTAGCGCAATTTTCATCTAATGAAAAAGACCCGGATACATGATGAGATGTATGTGAAAATCATTTAGTATCTGTAACTAAGCAAATGTAATTATTGTACCGTCTTGTACTGCTATTTAAAACATTTACTGCCATAAATGTCAGAGAGAAATACATTCTACTTTACAAAATTTCCTTTATAATCATGTGTGTTAGTTCTGATAGTCTGAAGCATGAAGAGCTAAAAAGTTCCAATATTAAAAAATAAATAAATAAAGACCAAATTTAAAAGAACTCAGTTCTTTCTTTTTTCTTACACCGCATTGATCATCAGATTTTTTTCTTCTTTTACTTTAGAAGGACTGTGAATTAACAGTAAACTGTAATTCAGTATTTTGGCTACTGACAGTATTTTCTTTATCCCCCACCAACAACTTTACACCATGTGGTTGTCATGTGATCTTTTATAACCACTCCAAAAATATAACGCAAATAAATACATTTTTACTTCATTAACACAGATAAAACCTTGATTGGGCCAAAATTATTTTCATCGTAAGTTATTCCAAAACGTCAGTGTCGCCAATTTCTAGGGGGAGTTTTACGATTTTTTCAATTGTTTGCTCTTTTCTCATGAATTCCCCTTTTGCAGTTATTTGAATGACAATATATATATATATATATTATTCATGCAGCTATCTTTTCTCCCTGAGTGTTTTCTAATTGACTTTTTGTACTTCTTCTCTCAAGTCTGCCGGTTGGATCACAGCTCCAAAATGGCAGGAATCCAAATAGCACAGACGTAAGTGAAAAATCCACTTTAACACGTCACAGGACTCGACATGGCCACACCGATGTAGCACAATTGTGTTTACCAACCGCAGCGCTCTCTGATCTCATTACACCAAGGGCCAAAGAAAGGCTGCAGATGCTGGAACCAACCACCTCACCTCAGCGATGCCGCTGCAGCTCTCACAGCTCCATCACATTGTTGCTGTATGTATGTGTGCGCGTGTGTGTGTGTGTGTGTGTGTGTGTGTGTGTGTGTGTGTGTGTGTGCGTGTGTGTGTGTCACACCCACTTGAGAAGCTGAATGAGCAGCCTGGCGTAGCTCTGCATCATGTGAGGCTCCAGGTTCGGCAGCGTGACCAACTCATAGAGCAGCTTGATGAAGAGAATGTGGTCCTCCTTGCTGAACCTGCGGCCGTACAGCTTCAGAAACCTGAGGGGGGGCGGGGGGAGAGTGGGGGTCAGGTTACCATCCCCGGTGCAGAAGAAGATCACTTCCGGCTTTCCGCAGCTGACCCATATCCTGTAAACACTTTAAGGGCACACCTTCAGCGGGCCAATGTCTCAACATGAAACCTCGAGTGCAAAGTGGACACAGTCTTAATTCAAAGTTACACAATGAACTTGTTCCCTTTTAAATCTCCCCTATTTAAATATTTCTAGGATGCTGATATTTTTGGAACAAACCCCTTTTCAGCCCTAGCTTATACTAGCTAGCTAGATTTTAAAGTCAACATTATAGCTTTGGCAACCTATATGAAAATACAAAATGGAAATCTAAATAACTTGACAAATAATAATATTTTTAAAGGTTATACTCTTAATGATGGGTGATTTTGTCAATTTGTCTCTTCCAAATTTGCACTTCCTTAGAAAAATGTCTATTTAAAGACATTTAAAAAATATTTCAGCTTAAAAACTGCTAGATAACCATTATTATGAAGGATTAAACACAGGTTTGACTTGATGTGGTTTGCATCCGGAGGACAACACTTACGAGAAGAGCTTCCTGGACCAGAAGGCGACCCCGGGCCACAGCTCCCTGAGGAGGACAGCCCTGGACAGGTTCGCCTTGATCTCCGCCAGCAGCTCCGTGGCCTCCCGCTCCAACCGGGCGGAGTACGGCAGCAGGCCGTTATACACCACCTCCCTCTGAGAGACAAACCCATCCACATCTCCATCCACAGTCATATCCCGCTGATGTATTAGGTCACCTTAATGCGCGAAAAAAAGATAAAAGGAAAGAAAACCCTTTTCCTCTTTAAATTGTATGATGTGTGCTTTCTGAGAGTGCTCTTCTGAGTAGAGGTTTAATAATCCTCTGTATCGCGACGGGAGGATAAAGCGATCACAGAGGTGGTGGGGGG